GGAAGGGAGGGAGGGGAAGGAAGCAAAAATATCAGCCTTGGGAAAGAAACGTCCCAGGAAGATTAAGACTAAGCCCCTGGACTCCACATGAATTCCAAAAACCTGATCACAGGCTTGCAGCAGGTAAGACACGAGCCACGTTGGTCAGAATGTTCTAGATGAGGCCTGTTAACATACTGAGCTGGTAGAAACTTAAAAGCACATACACTTTATGGAGTTAACAACTCCCCTAAGTCATTTTCAATTCCCCCTTCTCCTCCCTTTTCTTCAAGGGCAGGCAGACTATGCATTTCCTTCCCTGGGTGATACAGCCAAATGAAGCCCACAGGAAGGACCCACCAGGTGGTCAGCTGGCCCCAGATCCCCCGAAGCCAGGTTCCGGGAAGAGCAGGTTAAAGTGCTGAGTGGTCTTTCCTGGTTATTTCTGAATTCTCACCTGCCAGCGCCAGTACTCTCAAGAATTCACCTGGCTCTAGGTCCAGACAGGATCTATGCCTTCCCTAACATACRCACCCACTGGCTCAGCAGAAGCAGCCCCAAATAGTCCTGTTCTCTATAACTTTGAAAAGAATTCCCTGTACAGCCACTCATGGAAACAGAAAGCCAAAATAAATCTGTGAGGCAGGCAAAAAAATGCATTTGATTAGAGTTTCAAAAAAAAAAAAAAAACCAACCAAATACAATAATAGGGCTGAGGCATTGAAAGTTTTCTTAATGAGGGTTACGTACTCGCTTCATCCTCGGTGCTCTCTCCCCTTCTAAGCCGTCTTTGAATTTTCTCCTCATGCCACCCCCTCCCTTTCTCCTTGGAAAGGGCAACTCACTAGTAACACTAGAAATGAGACGTCTTTCCAACAAATCTGACTCCTGTGTTCGAACCTGGCCGTACAAACAGTGGCCTTGGAGTCTGTTCTTATTGACACATATCTCAGTCTCTTGGTAACACTGGACTCCAGTTGCCACTACTGTGTGTATAAACCAGTGCCCACTTGGCCTGGTGCATCTTTGGAACCAATATGAACACACTGACAAGGAGAAGGTGCCAGTTCCCTCATGGGGGGCTGTAGAGGTAAGCAACAGCCTGTGCTGCCATCCCAAGAGCTATGGGGCTGGACTTTGAGAATCGCACGCCTTTGGGTTCTCCAGACCTTCTTTTCTATGATCAGATTTTTAAAAAATGCAACAAGGCCATGGCCTTCAGCTTTCAACCTTAGCCAGGCTGAAGCAACAGTGAGATCCCTACCGACGGCAGGCAGCACTCTTTCAGCCCCTCCATAAACCACCTGAATCCCCAATCTCTCCTGTCTGGTGTTCAGTCCTCCACCCTAACTTGCAATTCTGGGGGGCAATAGTTTCATGACTCTTGCTGATTGTGCTTCCATAGCAACAGACACCAAGATAAAATGACAAATGACATGACAGAAAGCTCCTCTCCTTGATGACTTTGAGCAATAGAAGAAGGAGGAATTTTAGGAACTTGATGTCACAACATCAAAGGGTATTTCATACGACAAGAGAGGCACTTAAAGACTACGCAACAAAAACTAAAAAGACTTGAAATATTAATGCTCAGGAAGTGAAGAACCATCCTGGCATCCAAGGAGTTTACCCTCCCAAGCTGCAGATCCTAAATAACTTCATTCCGTACAGCTTCTCTTAGAAAGAGCACAGCATGTAATCTATACCCAGTGCTTACAGATCAATTACGAGGATAGAATAAAATTAAACTCTGAAAGTATCAAGAAAGTTGCCCCCTTGAAAAGTATTGATAATGACCTTTTAATAGTGACTCAAAGAGCCACTCTTAAGAAAGGGAACTGGATAAGCCCCCCGCCCCCCCCATTCTCATGTCTGTTAGCACGGAACACTCATTTCTGAGTACTCAGAGAACTGTTCTGGGCGCCCCCTGCTGGTTCCACAGGAGAACAGATCCAAAAAAAAACCCCACAGGATTTCATTAGAAACGTTCATGCAAGAGTGATATGTCAGAATCTGAAATGAGAACATTTGCATACAGTAGGCCCAGCCAGTAAGGGAATAGGTTAATTAGCTCAAGGCAGCTCTGGGGAAGAAAAAACAGCAGCATAAAAGTCCTTTCAGAGCCAAGTAAAATGTCAAACACATTCAGGAAGGGGCCCATTAGCAATGGAAATGTAAAATGTCAGTACAAGGAATGCACAACAAACCAAACTAGAAAACCCCTTGAAAAGTACTTTTAAGAACCTAGATTTCATAAATTGGGGAAAGAATGCTGACTTGCTTCTCAGAAGCACAGGATTTTATTTATTTATTTATTTATTTATTTATTTATTTATTTATTTATTCATTCATTCATTTGAGAGGCTGGTTTCATGGGTCCTAAATGCTAACTGGGTGGACTTCTGCCAATGGACCATGAAGACATATCAGCTTTGACACACAAATTCAGATTTCTTCTTCTTAAACATTATCCATTAATAAACAGTATCTTTTCTAGAGATTGCCAATGATACATTGTCAAGGATACATTTAAAAAGAAGTTAGAGTGACCCAGGTTGAACTATATAAATYTCAACTCATCTCCTCCTAAATTTATTAATCTAAAGTATTTTTCAAAAAAAGATATAGGGTCTCACTGGTCTGGTCTGAAACTCCTGGGCTCAAGTGATCTTCCTGTCTCAGCCTCCCAAGTAGCTGGGACTACAAGTGTGCACCACCGCACCTGGCCTTCTCCTAAGTTTAGAACTGTTGGCCAGTGCAGCATTGAGGAGCAAGAGCTCTCTAATTCTAGGTTATGTGTCACTTCTCTGCGCACTCTGAGCTGTACTGTGTACATCTTCCATTGAATGGGAAACCTGAAGGTAGGAACTGGATCTTGCTGTATTTCCAACGAACCACCAGAGGGCGCCATAGTACACCAGCACAGCATTACTGTATTGGGATGAAAGAAGAGGTAATTTATGAATGTGAAAGAGTAGAGTAGTGGGGGAGGGGGGAGAGGGAGAGGAAAGAGAAAGAAAAAAGGAGAATGGGATGTTCACTTTAGGGTCTCTTTTTAGTTATAGACAAAACGCCTCTGAGTCCTGAAGTCTCAGGGGTCCTGGAGCTAATCTCTGAGTGCACCTGCCAACAACAAGAAGATTTCTTTGAAACATGGCCAGCGCTATGGACGCTAAGTTACCAAACCACATGCGAATCACACTGCTTAAACACCATCAGAAAAGGGAAAGCAGAAGGGAAATTAATAGATGAACCAAGACCAATTTATTTAGAGCTTACTACCTATGGTTTGCCTGGCAATCAGTGTTCTGAATACATTCATCTCAAGCACTTGTGGATTTTTAAATGTAGCTTCTACATTTATATTTATTTCATTATCAGTATTTTTAAATTTAGCCTGGTGCTTTTTTTCATTATTTAGCTCGGTGGTAATTTGCCTTGTTAGTCAAAGTCTTATCCTCAGATCAGCAACACCAGCATCCTGGAGCTCTTTAGAAAGGCAAAAATTATGGCCCCAATCAGGACCTGCACGTTAACAAGATTTCCAGGAGATTCAGAGGGACAGTAAAAAGAAACTCAAGAGTACATTTTCTACTTCTTTTTTTTTTTTTTTGGTACTGAACTCAGGAGCACTTGACCACTGAGCCACATCCCCAGCCCTATTTTGTATCTTATTTAGAGACAGGGTCTCACTGAGTTGCTTAGGGCCTCACTTTTGCTGAGGCTGGCTTTGAACTCTCAATCCTCCTGCCCCAGCTTTCCAAGCCACTGGGGTGACAGGCATGCGCCATACATTTTCTAATTAGTAGAGAATAGGACAGACAKCAGAATACATCAGACACTAGAAAGGCAATTTGTCAATCAATGGAAGGGTAACTGATGTGATACAGCAATCTGTATACGGGGTAAAATTGGGAGTTCATAACCCACTTGAATCAAACTGTGAAATATGATGTATTAAGAACTATGTAATGTTTTGAACGACCAACAATAATAAAAAAAAATCTAATTCTGAATTGTTAAGCAAATTAAACACGGCTGTCCCCTTTCGAATGGAGCAGGCACAGGTAGCCACACCAGGTGCCATGCGTACCCTGGGGCTGATGGAGCCTCCCAAGCTCYTGACCTTGGGATCATCAAACCCAACACAAGTCTACCTAATAACTGCCCCTTTTCTCCTGGTTCCTTAAAAAACTAGAGAGAGACGTGTTTTTCAAAGACCATGATGCATTTTATGGACTCAATCAACTCCAGGAAGAAAAATGGAATTGTTTAACAAGGAAAGCCCCTACTTACATCTTTGCCATCATTCCAATTCAAAGATGTTTTCGCTTCTATCACGGATCCAGACAGAGAAGGGAAAGGAAAATGAGAAACTACTGTGCTACAGAAGTGAGGCCCTGTGCCCACTGACTCCCAGCCTGGTAAACAACTGCTCAGAAGAGAAGAACCCCTAGGATTTGATGCCTAAAGCCCCAACTAGGCACTCCAAGGCTGCGGAATCCACAGAGCGGTCCTGCCTACGAACACAACCCTGGGTTTCTCAGTTGAAGTGAACCCATGGTTGCTTGCAGGTCTGTCCCTGCACAATTAGTAGGAAAAGCAGAAGCCCTCATGCCTTCCTGATCTGGAAATCTGGACTCTGAAATGCTTCAAAGTCTGCAGCTTTCAGAGGGCTGTCGGGACGCCATCTGCAGAGAATTCCACACCTGACCTCAGGTGACAGGTTGCAGTCAGAGTGCAGGTGCCACTAAAAATGTCATATAAAATGACCTTCAGGAGATGTGTGTAAGGTGTAGGT